GCGGGGGCCCCGCCCAGCCCCGGCCCCGGGATTCAGCCCAATAAAGAGCGCAGAACAACTCTGGAGTCTGCTGGTTCTGTCCCGGGCTACAGGGGCAGGGGTGAACGAGAATTTAGCAGTTACCGCCGATGGTCTGGAGCTGGGGCACTTGCTTGTGACACAAGGGTCAAAACCCTTTCCTGCGACACTCCGGACCCTAATCAGACCCTGCCAGGTCTTGCAAGCTCAAAGTAGGTGGACTCTGGCAAATCTGGTCTTGGCTACGCTGGAAGGACCTGTTTCCAGCAAAGGCCTGACATCTCCAAGAGTCCCTAGCATTCAGGAATCTTCCTCAGGCAGAGGGAGAGGTCCCGGCAGATAGGCAGCACCCCAGGGAGAACAGCAAGGATCCCCAGGCAGATGGTGAGGCCTGAGATGCAGATTCTGCCTATGGGAGCAGCCAGGAGGAGGAGCTGGAGTCTCTGGGCCTCTGACCCATCACTCCTACCCCCATTGTGCTCCATGACTCCCAAGGCACCTCAAATTCATCCCTTGCCCTACTCTGTACTGTCCCTCCTCACATTTCACCAAAGACTTCTTCCAAACAGTGTCTAGGGCAGTTCACTCCCTTTCTAAGTCTCACTGGTTCTCCACTGTGCTCTGGGACTATGCAGGTCTTCTCCCCAGCCTCTATCTTCCCCTCTGAGGGCCTCTCAGTGGTGCCCCCTCATCCCTGCTCTAGCCAAATCAGCACTTGTGGTCTCCATGTGAGGCTCACTTCATATATCACAAGAGGCCCAGCATAATCTGGGCTGCCTCTCCTCACCACACTCTCTTGGTTCTCAAACCCAGCTCCAGGCCCTAAAGCCACCCCAGCATGCCATATCTGCAGCCTGCCTTCCTACCCCACACTGGTGACCAATCTCAGAAAGCCCCCTTTGGGGGTAGCCCAGCTCACTAGCGCCACAGGTCTAGCTTCTGCTACAGATACACTTTTGTTACTGTCAACACAAGGGACATCCCCTCCAGAAGGCCCACATCACAGGAGGTTGCATGACACATACAGCAGCCCCTACATTGTGAGAACTGACTCTTCTGCCATCCAGATGGTTACAGTCAGGATAACTGCACTCCTGTGTGCAAGACTAGCCCAAGCTGACTTTTATCAGCCCCTTCTCTGGGACTGAAATTTGGGAGCTGTAAGGGACAATGATTTCTACATGAACTTGGACTGGCTAAAGCCAGTCTTCAGAGGAATAAAAACCTCACAAAGACTGCACATCCTGGTTCCCCTCAACCCTGAGTTCAGACTCTCTTCCTGACAACTGATTTCACCCTTATCCTTGGTATCCATAAGATAAACAAGATTCAGTATAAAACCCTTATTTTAGCTGGCCTGCCTGGTGGTGCGCACCCAGTGGCTCAAGAGGCTGAGACAGGAGGACCGAAAGTTCAAAGCCAGCCTCGGCAATTTATCAAGGCGCTAAGCAACTCAGTGAGACCCTGCCTCTAAATAAAAATACAAAATTGGGGTGGGGATGTGGTTCAGGAGTTGAGTGCCCCTGGGTTCAATTCCGTGTACCCCCCCCAAAAAAAAAAAAAAAAAAAACTTTCTCTTTAGCAAATGAAAGGGCTGTACATCTGGCAAGAATAGAGCAGATAATCCAGCTATTTTGGGAAGGAACCAGACTGTGCTGGGCAGCTGAGGCCAGAACATGAATGCCCAAACCGCTGCCCTTGGCTTGGACAGAAGAGGAAGATAGGTCCAGCGTTTTCTTGGGGGGAGGGGCCAGAGACGCTCAGTGCTGAGGTCACAAAGAGCCCCAATACAAGTTCTCTTCTCTGACGGTCCTCTCCCACCTCCACAACGAGAAACTTCTTTAGCCAAGCCAGGCGAGAGGTGCCAGGAGACTGCCTGGAGCTTAAGGGTTAGCCAGGACTCCAGCATCCCCACGGGGGGGATACATGTCCTGATGGCCTTGCCACAAGGGCCTTTCATTGCCTGAGCTCTGCTTTCCCAGCAGTTTCTCAGTATCCAAAGGATTTGGCCTGGCCCTCCCGTCATCCACCCCAGCAAGACCCGAGGAGGCGGGTCCGGGCGACCACGACGAGTCCGGAAGAAGTGCTGGGCCTGGAGGAGCCTGGAGCTTGCAACCTAGGACAGCCAAACCGAGCCGCGGCTGGGACCCCGCGGGAGCAGAGGTAGACCCTGGAGCTGAGGGCGGGGCCTCCGGCCTAGGGCGGAGCCACGAGCAGAAAAGAAGGCGGCTACTCTGCTCGAAGGGGTGGGGGGCACACGACCGGCGGACGAAGTCACGGACTGAGAGGGACAATTATCCAGCGCAGAAAAAACTAGGACTTGGAGGCTCAGGCGGACCAGGCTCTGGGGCCGGGCCGAGTCTCTGAGGGCTGAGCCTTCGCCGGAAGGTGGCGTCTGCGTCCCGCAGCCGCCGGGTCCGCCGGCGGCACTCCCTGGGCCACGTCGCCGTGGTGGTGGACCTGGGCTCGGGCTTCACAAAGGCGGGCTTCGCGGGCGAGGAGGAGCCACGCATAGTACTGAAGAGCTCCAGTCTGGTGCCCAGCTGGGACCGGTCCGTGCAGCCAGGCACGCTGGGCTGCGAGCTGGCGGGCGGCGTGGCGCGGGCGCACCCCATCAAGCACGGCGTGGTGGTGGACTGGGAGGCGCTGGAGGGGCTCTGGCAGCGCCTGCTGGTGGGCGGCCTGCGAGTGCTGCCGGAGCAGTGGCCGGTGCTGGTGAGCAACTCGCCATCGGCGCCACCTGAGGACCGCGAGAAAGCGGCTGAGCTGCTGTTCGAGGCCCTGGCAGTGCCCGCGTGCCACATGGCCAGCACCGCGCTGCTGGCGCTCTGCTCCTCCGGCGCGCTTAGCGGGCTGGCCGTAGAGGCGGGCGCGGGCGTGTGCCACGCCACGCCCATCTACGGGGGTCACTCGTGGCACAAGGCCACTTTCCGGCAGGATGTAGCAGGCAGTACCTTGTCGCGCTACTTGCGAGACCTGCTGGTGACAGCGTGTCCCAACATCGGGGTGCAGGCCTTGCCCCGCAAGACCATCACACAGCTTAAGAAGCGCTGCTGCTATGTGTCGCTGGATTTCGAGGGTGATCTCCGTAACCCTGCCCGCCACCATCCGGCCAGTTTCTGCTTGGGCAAGGGGTGCTATCTGCGCATCACCAGCGAGCGTTTCTGTTGCCCCGAACCCATCTTCCAGCCGTGTCTACTTGGCCAGTCTGAGCCAGGACTGGCTGCACTGGCCTTCCAGGCACTGCAGAAAATGCCCCCAACACTGCGAACAGGGCTAGCCAACACTGTGGTGCTCGCCGGCGGTTCCACGCTTTTCCCTGGCTTCATTCAGCGCCTGGACCTGGAGCTGGAGGGTCAGTGCCGGCGGCACGGCTATCCCGCTCTACGGCCCCACCTGGTGGCCAACCCTGGGCGTGGCTCAGCTGTGTGGACTGGAGGCTCCATGGTGGCCTCCTTGGGCTCCTTCCAGTGTGATTGGATGACTCGCGCCATGTACCAGGAATGTGGCTCCAGGCTGGTGCACGAAGTGTTCAACTGAGCCATGTTTGCCAGGAGGTGGTGGTGCAACCTGGGGACTGCAGGGACATTGGCTCTAGGTTGAGTCACTGACCTATCAGCCTTGAGACTAGATAAAGAATGTCAAGTGTTTGGAGCTGGCAGGCTCATCATGTGGAGGTGGGTCAACTCCACTCCCTTTCTGGGTCAGGAGGGGGCGGATGGGACCCACTGGGCCCTCACGTTCACTTGCAGTTTGAATCCCCCAACCCACTGCCAGTTCGGAGAATGTCAGTCCAGCTGTCCATTTGCAAGGCCAGGCCCAAGGCTATGTCACATGAAAGCAATCAGTAGAAGCCCTGTCCCTAGTTGTGTGATCTTTTAAACTCTGGAATCTCAGTTTCCCTTTTGGTATAAAGTGGGGTCAGAGGACTGAGGATGTAGCTGACAGATACAGCACTTGCCTAATGTGTGCAGAGCCCTGGATTCAACCCCCAATAGAGGAAAAATAAAAAATAATTTAAAAAGGCAGGATCGGGCACTCCCAGAGCTGCTCACTGCTCCTCCCTACCCAGCCCCAACTGGAGGAGCTGCGGGGCAAAAGGAAGTGGAGACATTTCTTAAAAGGAGCACAGGACTGGAGAGGTGGCTGCCTGTCTATATGCCTGAGGCCCTGAGTTTGACTCCCAGCACTGCAGGGGGAGAGGGAAGAATACATAAAGGGAGGGGTGGCTTATCTTTTTGAAGTCACTCTCCAAGGACTTGGAGCCCTAGCTGTCAGCACTGTTTACACTTGTGCCCAAAGGTGTCCACACATGCACACAAACACATGGCCACACACATACCTGCCTATTCACATATGTCCTTAGGGCAAGACCCCATGGCTCCACGCACCAGCACTGGCTTTGGGCATGATGAGCTCGTCCCCCCATGAACCAGCCCATGCCCACTGGGTTCCGGCTTGATAGTTCCCAGCATTTATGTCTGGCAAAAAAAAAAAAACAGCAATGCTGCTCCAGGTCTAAAGCACCCACTGTGTGCAAGGCCTTGTTCTGGGTGCTGGGAACAAAGAAAACAAAACTTATGCAAAAATCCCTGCCTACATTCTCATTTAATTATCACAACAAAAGTACAGACAGATGAGGAAACTGAGGTCCAGAGAGGCAAAGAGGCATAGCCACTAAGTGGGAGAAGCTCTGCAGGCTTGAGCCATGACAACAGAGTGTCCAAAACAGCAGATACCCATGTGGGGACCCACCATCAGCCACTCCACTCACCAGCTTGGTGGCGTCCATGGCAGTGAGTACTGCACGGTTCAGTGACTCCAGTGCAGCCAGCACAGGCCGGTAGACACCCAGGCGTTTGGAGAAGTAGTCTGCAAGGAGAAGAGGTGCTCACGGGTTCTGAGCCCTGCTCCCCAATTGGGAATTTGGCCACCTAGAGTTCCCCAGCTACCAAGCAGTTCTCATATCCTGAACCCAGCCCCTTCTGTCCCATCAGGAACCCTGCAACAGCCCCCACCATATCCACCTGCCCAGGGACCTGGGAAACATGCACCTACTCACCACATAGTTTATCTGTTTCTAAATTGCTGCAGAGAAAAAAAAAAGACACCCTTCAGACCCTGAGGCCTGGTCTGGCAAACTGGAATGTCCCCAACCCACCCCTGACCCCCAACTCAGCCTGACAAGGAATTTGGGGTATCTGGTCAGTGAGTGGGGGGGAGCGTTGCAGACAAAAGGGTCCAGCCCAGTCTTGGGAGCCCCGCATGCCAGCCTAGAGTCTGGGGTTTATCCTGAGGAGACGGAAGGGAAGGCGTATACATGTGTGATGTGTGTGCACCAGAGCGAGGAAGCTGGGAGGAGCTCACTCGCCCTGCTAAGATGTGTAGATGTGGGAGCACACGGGGGAAGATGTGGGAAGGGGTGTGTGTGTGCACCTGCACCCCTGGGTGGAGGCGGGTGGAGGCAGGCGGAGCCCAGCTGTCCCCAGGCAGCCTCTGGTTCCTGCAGGAAGCGGGAATGAAGGGGTTGAGCCACAGGTGGTGACTCAGGTCTATTTTGGGGTTCCAGCCGAAAGCATCGTGGTGGGCAAGGCTAGAAGCGGGGGTAAAGCTGGCACCAAACCCTGGCACCTTTCTTCCCACTACCCACCCCAGTCCTCCAAAAAGAACAGCGGCAGTAGGGGACAAAGTGGGGCTGGGACAACCTGGCCTGGCACCCACCCACGCTTAGTCACCCCCTGGCACTCACTCAGTGGGACAGCCGTCAATGCTGCTGAACAGTTCCCGTAGCTCCCCGGGGCTGAGAACCCCATCGGCAAAATAGTTCTGGAACTCTTCAAATGAGAGCTTGCCATCATCTAGGAGGGGCAGGGACAGCGTCAGTGTCCCTGAGCCCGGATCATGCCCTGCCTCCAGGTCCAAGCCCCTCCAGGCCTCCCAGTATCTCACAACCACCTAGCCAGGTGCCATGGGCTCTGAGCTTAGCCCCTGACTGCTGGGAGAAAAGGACTGGAGTCTCCAGAACAGGGGAGGATCCAAACGTTAGCCAAATGAGGAAATGAAAAATCAGCCCGGACACAACTGCAGCACAGCCTGATCTCGCTGGAGAGGAATAGGGCAGAGTGTCTGGCCCCGAGGCTGACCAGCTTCACCCTGGGTACAAGGACTTCTGTGCTCTGGACCCAGAACCTTCACTGAGAAGCCAGTGGGAGGCCTAGGAAATCTTCCTAAATAGGTGGACTCTGTAAGAAGCTTCAGGCTGGCTCTGGAGGAAATGCTGTCCCTGGGGGACAGGGTAAGCTGATTGGTGCAATTGAGTGGGATGTTCAAAGATGCCAGAGAGTCGGCCTGAATGATGTAGAGAGTCACTAATAAATGGGGAGGGGGAGCTGCGGAGCAGGAGGAGGGGTGGTAAGGCCTGAGGCTCTCCAGAAGGAATGCCCCAATCAAAGGGGGGACATGTCTTTTTGGGGGGGAGAGAAGGGTTGGAGGTATACGGGGATTGAATCAGGGGCGCTATACCACTGAGCCACATCCCCAGCCATTTTTATATTTTGTTTAGAGACAGGGTCTCACTGAGTTGCTTAGGGCCTCACTGTTGCTGAGGCTGGCTTTGAACTCACGATCCTCCTGCCTCATCCTCTCTGCTGGAATTACAGGCATGTGCCACCACACCTAGGCAGGGCATGTGTCTCAGTCAGTGGGTTGGGACAAATGGTTCCCACAATTAAAAAATACCCAAGGAGAAGGAGCAAGGAGTGGGGATACTACCCCATCTCAAGGAGGCTGGAACATGGGGGTGGGGGTGGGGGGAGGTAAAGACGCAGAGGGAGGGGAGCTCCAGGCAAAATGGCCCCCTCAGCTCAGACCCTCCACTGGCTGGTCACTACAGGGGGCTGTTTCCAGCCATCTAGAGGCAGCAAACCTACAGTGTGCTAGGCTGGACCAGGGGCAGAAGGAGCTGACTCAGATTACTGGACCCCACTGTATCCTTGCCCAAAGGCTGGGTTTAATTGTGTTCTCTGAGCCCTCGATGGATCTAGATGGTAAGTCACACGTGGACAAGACCTCCAAAAATCTGGGTGAAGTACCATTATCCCACCCTTCCAAGCCCCTCACACAGGGAATTTAGAACCACACATCACCACCAATTAAAGGCTGTGTGACCTCAGGCAGCTTGCTTCCCCTCTCTAGGGTTCTACTCCTTTGTCTGTGAAATGGGTGAGGAATCTCAATCCAGCTGGCACTGCAAGGCAACACAGGTCACATACCGGAAGTCCCATCACTGTGCCAGGGCACTGCGTGAAAACAAGCCCCCACTTCCAGCCTCTACCCAAACCACTCTCCCTCTGCTCTCCCTTCCAAATTTGACTCAGAATAGCACTTCCTCCAGGAAGGATGCATTGATTTGATTTCCCTGTTTCAGGGTCCCCAAGATTTGTCTCCACTCAAATTCTCCCCCAGTTCCCCAACTCTCCCCTGAGTCTCCCTGATGGACTCCCACTCACCACTGAGTCCCAGAGAAAGCAACACTCACCATTCTTGTCTGCTCTGCGGAAAACCTAGAGGACAAAGGGACAGGAGTGGGAACTGGGTGGGGGTAAGAAGCAAGAGGCGCGCCACCCGCCACCGGACCCACAGGGCCCCAGCTGCTCTGCCTCCCCGTTGCCTGGCCTTACCTCCTGCTCAGCCTGCCCCAGCCCCCTGCTCAGCTCAGCCTGCGGGTGCTCTTCCAACAAGGGAGGCACAGGAAGGGCACACAGCAGGTCCCACTGCTTGCTCCCTGCTCCTGCAGAGCCTGGCTCCATGGGGTGCCCCAGGCCAGCTCCTGCACCCCACCTCCCACACCTGGACGCCAGCCTGAGTTCTGTCTGATGCATCAGCCCCTGGCACGGTCCCCGGTGCCCGCTTGAAGAAGGTGCAAAGATGGGTCAAGATGCGGTCCAAGGATCCAAACCAGACCTGAACCCCAACTCTGGCCACCCACAGTCCATTCCAGTCTTTGCCCTCTGAGCTGGTCCCCTGCATGCCTGTGCATTCCCTTCTTTGCCATACCTCAGTTTTCCCACTAGTGTCCCAAGGAGCAGCCTAGGGTTAACCCTTTCAGGGCCAGGGCTTCCCACAGAGACAACTTTATGTGAGGGCTGTGGGTAGGTTTGCTAGTGCTCGAGGGAGGTGAGGGTGGGGAGGCAAAGATCAGATTTTATTTACAGAGAGGCGGAGATGAAAGGCACCAGAGGCAGTAAAACAGCCTCTCAGGGATCAGAAACTTCCAGGTTCCCCAAAGCTCAGCAAAGGGCAGCCCAGCAGGCCTAAAAAAGAGATGCAGACCAAAGCCTGGACAGAGAGCCCTCATATTTCAAGTCCTCACTCCCTTTGGATGATCCCTTCAGGGTCAGTGGGTCTAAAGAATCAACTAATGCCTAGCCTGAATCAGAGAAGGTATGCTACAGGGTTGGGATCACACAGCAGCCCAATGGGGCCTGGGTGGGTGGATGGAGAAATGGGCAGGGAGTTAAATTGAGAATTAAGACACCTGGGGCCACACCCAGTAATACCCCTGCTTCAATATGGACATATCCCCTCAGGCCTTGGTGTTCCTATCTGAGAAGCAGGAGGGTCAGCTTTCAGTCAGAACTGTTTGTGGTCAAGGTGCTGAGTCACTGGGGGTTGTGGGGAGGGGGCAGGATTACAGTCTTTCCCACTGGTAGGGACTTCTGGAATGGGGACAGAGCACAGGGGTAAAAGGGAGTGACTGAGACCCAGAAATGCTGCTCCACACTCACAGAAGGGGGCTGCAGGGCCACCTGCTGCCCCATGGAGTGGTACCCAGACCACAGAGGATAGCTATGGGCAGCCTTCACCAGCTGCGGGACTCCTCTTGCCCTTGGGTCAGAGGGGCTCTGGAGGTACTACTAGGGTCAGGAGAGGGCTCCTAATGTGTCCTGGCGCTCCAGCCCAACCGCCGGGCCAGGCGCCACCACAGAGCAGGGACAGTGACTGCTATCTTAATTGTGTTGACAGTCCCCACCCCCACTAGACAGAGAATGTTTGGGGGTTTGGGACAGCAGGGACAGAGACACTGGAGCAGAGACAAGGAGCGATATGAAGAGACAGGACTGGGGACGCGGAGGCAGCGAGATCGGAATAAGGAAGAGGGACAGAGGGACAGCTGGGTCAGAGATCGCGAGAGGGACAGGGTCAGGGGGAGACACGCACTGAGACCGAGATGCGGAAGCACAGAGACGGGGCCGGGAGACGGTGACAGCGAGCCCGG